AGGATGACAGCAAAAGAACTGACAATGTCTTTGAGTTTTGGTGTGTATGCCTTAGAGAAAATGCAGCCATAATTTTTTCCCTGAAGGCAAAGATGACAAAGTTTTGTCTCATGCTTTGGGCATGTTGCCAAGAGAGGCTATTGCTTGATACCATGCTTTAAAAGGTAGAGTGTCTGTAAAAGAAAGGAATATTCTCTATGAGATGAATTGACACAATGACTTCAAAAATGTTCTCAAGTGTGTCAGAGATTATGAGGATGGTACAAGGATAGGACCAATTTCAAATCTGCTATTTATAAGGTTGCTATGAGGCATCCTCAAATTTATGGTACCTAATTTCTTGTAACAAGAAAGTTTTCTTAGATGATAGTTACTTGAGATGGGAATAGATGGTGAAGGAAGTAAAAATTAATAAACAGAGAGAGTACAGTCATCAGGAGGAAACTGGTCTTTCAGTGTGCTATGTACCACAGAACAACTAAAAATTTTAGAAGACGCAGACTGCTGTTGCTGTCTGTTCACCAGCAACTTAACAGCAACACCGTGATGGGGGTAAACACAATGGAGATACGTCACTCCAGGAGAGGATCAGAGAGTCAATCCACCTCAATTTTTGGGGGGACTGCAGTGCACTTATATACAAACATGTAAACAGGAAGACGGAATAGGGGGGGCTTGCAGATGTGGGACATGTGGATTGGTCAGGAGAACCTCAGCCTCATGCAGACCACTCCAGCTCAAGAGAAGCGGCAGCCGTCTTCTCAGGTGGTGAACTTTCTCAAGCTGGTACAGCCAAACACCAGGGAGCTTTCTCTACCCTGTATTAAAGGCCATTGGGAGGCTTGCACTTATCTGGAGCTTAAGTGATCTGTCCTTGCCAGAAGCCCTCCCTTCCTCCCCAACATTCCACAACATCTCCTCCCTTTTTCTTTTAAATGAATTCAAAGAGGGGAAAGTAACAAAACAAAACCAAAAAAAAAAAAAACCCACAAAAACCAACCCTTAAAAACTACAATATTGTCACAGCTCTGCATCATCCAATTTTTATTCTCTCTAACCCATTCATTTATTGAACACAAATTGAACCAAGTTACAGTAACTAAAGTATGTTTAAGTAAGAATCACCTGGTATTAAAGTAAAATAAAGAAAGTTTGAAAAAAGGACAAAATAAGATGCGGGCAATTGAAGATTGTTACCAATGTCAGATGGATCTTGGCTGAAAGTAGAGTACCAAAGTAATGTTAATCTGTGTTTCATTGAATATACAAAGGCATTTGACTTTTTTCCCTTTTTTATTATTATCAATTTTAATAGACATTTACAGAGGTTTTGAATTTCCATTCATTCACTGCCGCAAAAAAACAAAAACAAAAACAAAAAACACCCAAAAACAAAAACAAAGGCATTTGACTGTGTAGATCACAGCATATTGTGTCTAACATTGATAAAAAAAGGATCCCAGAACACTTGATTGTGCTCATACAAAACTTATTCTTGGACCAGGAAATTATTGTCTGAACAGAGCAAGGAAACACTGCTTGGTTCAAAATTAGTAAGGGAATGTGTCAGAGATGTGTCCTGTCTCAATACCTTTTCATTCTGTTTGCAGAACAGATCATTCAGGAGGCTGGACTTTATGAGGAAGAGGATGGCATCAGGGTTGGAGGAAGACTCTAACAAACTGTGTTATGTAGATAATACAACCTTGTTTGGTGAAATTGAGGACCTGAAGTATTAGCTGCAAAAGATCAAGAGCTGTAGTCTTCAAAATAGATTAAAGCTTAAAGTAAAAAAGACAAAGATTCATAAAGATAAATACTGGATAAGACCATTATTGTAGAACAAGTATGATGATCAGGAGAGAGGGGCACTTAATTATAGGGTCACACAGTTTGATGGGTGGAGGGTGGGGTGGGTAAAGGAAAGGGGAAAGATATGGTTTGTAAAACAATGTATATGAACTTTGTAAGTAAACCAGTACAAAAAAATGAATTAAAAAAATTTATTCCAAAGACGAAAAGGGTATTATAAAGAACATGATTTTCCAAGCTGAAATATTCAGTTTGAAACAATGTTTTCCTTAAACATTTCTCTTTATCCCTACTTATGTGTGCCTTTCAGGCATGTTAAAACATGATTTCCCTTCTTTTCATTTAAAGCCTTGGCAATCTATTTCCCTTCAACTACCAAACATGCAGAGAGACGAAAAGAAATGTTAACAATTAAATATGTTTTGCAAAGAAGATTCAGCACTGGGCAGCACTCTTACAACTGCCTTGTCAGTCACCTTTCATAGAGATGGTTGAAAGGATGGCAAGTGAGTCAGGAAGTTTCCCCCTTCTATCTTGTTATTAAACAAGGCAAGATGTCAGCATGCATCCAGTCCCCTGCCACCCACAACAATGAGGATATTTTCAACATTCTTGCAGTTCTACTGGAATTGGTTGGGAACTGGAAATCATCCAAATGCTTGTGGAAAATATAGTCAAATTTGTGATGTTACTTGTTTGGTCCTTACAGAGCAAAACTTTCAAATAAAAATTAAGCTTCACACTACTTTATATATAAAAATTTAAAATTGAGCCTAGTTATATTGTGTATCAACAATGATGTTGGCTTGCTTCATAGAATTTCTAATGCTAGGAAGAAAAGGAATTTTATATGCATCACTGGTAGCAATAATATGATGAAAATAATAATGTGATTAAGAAATAAATGCTGGGGGAGGGGGCAAATGGCAAAGATTCTCACCACTGGACCAACTGGCAAAACCATGATGGATAAAGAAGATATTGAAGTTGTTAAAAAGCTCAGACTGCTTGGCTGCACAATCAACACTTTTGGCACCAGCAGTCAGAAAATCAAAAGACAAATTGCATTTGGGGAAGTCTTCTGTCAGGGACCTTTGTGCTAAAGAGCAATAATGTTGGTCTAGAGACTTAGTTACACCTGATCCAGGCCATGGTTTTCATAATTACTTGCTATGTATCAGAGAGCAAAAGGATGACAGAAGAAGAATTTATGCCTTTGAGTTGTGGTGTTGGAAAAGATTATTGACCGTACCGTGGACTCCCAGGGGAATAAATAAGTCTGCCTTGGAAAGGGTGATACCAAATTCCTCCTTGGAAGTAAGAATTTTCAAGCTCTGTCTCATATACTTTGGGCATACAGCCAGGAAAGACTAGTCCTTGGAGAAGGACATCATGCTTGGAAGGGTGAACAAACAGTGCAAGAGAGGAAGACCTCAGATGAGATGGATTGACATGACAACTGGGGCAGTAGGATTAGGTGTGTTAGAGTCAGTGAGGATAAGGCAGGATTCAAAGCTATTGGTTTCCATGAGTCACAAACAATTAGTTGGCACATAATAACAATAGACAGTTGAAGAAGTAATGGTACATTATAAAGTGAATTACAGAAAAACAGTTACAAGTGTGTGTGTTTTTTTAAAATGTTATTATGCAATGAGGTTGTCAAGTCCTTTTCTCTTAATGATAATTTTCCCCCATCCTAACTCTTTTCCAGAATAGGATCACAGGGAGTCTCAAATATCTGGATTCAATAGATGACTCTCCTCCACTAGAGAAAACACATGCCCAAGGTGTATTTTAGTCAAACACTTTAAAAGCTGAACTCATTAAGTTACATTAATTGTGTTTTATTCCAAAAAGTAATGAGTCAGAGGCAACAGGGGAAAAGAATGAAGAAAGTACCTATTTTAATTGCTCCCTCTGTTCTGCAGACTTTCCAGTGAGGTCCCTAGGAAAATGGGTCCCAAAGGAATGGTAAAGACTTCATTTCTTTTGTCCTTTGCTGCTTCTTTACTCAGGGCCTGTAGACATCAGGACCTAAGATTTTTGTTTTTCAGACTTGAGAGACTGAGCCTTCCAAAGATGATTGTTGAGTTTTGGTCTCAGAAATCTGTCTTCCTGTCCTATAGACAAAAGAAATGGTAATGGGTTGGATGTAAGATCTGTTTCTCAGTCCTTGTCAGCTATGTTTTCCTTCTATAAGTGCCTTTTTTTTAAAAGAGAACTTTGTTCTCATCTTCTCACCTTCAGAAAGGCTGTATACACAAGAAGACTGTGGGAGGAATGAATTTATTCTATTTCATTTGTAATGATACTATTTTATTTGATTCCATAGTATTTTCTTGAGATACTCCTTGGTTAATGAAGTCTAGTCTAAAATGGTAGTGATAAATTCTTTGTCAACCTCATTGCACTTGCACGACTCATACAGCCATTAGAACTAAGAACTTAGTAACATCTATCAACAACCTTAAAAACCTTCATTTCATATACCCAGAAATATTACTGTTATAATTGCCATTAATAGACTAAATTTTGTTAAAAGAATATGTCATTTTTATTATCATCCCTTGCCTATCGATGTATTGAATATTTCAGTCCATTTTTATTTCCTTTTATGTCCACTACGAAAAATTTCCACTGTGATTATCTGTTACTCGTGAGGGAGAAAATAGCTTTGAGGGTTATTCAAATCCATATAAGTCCAGACTAAATGAAATTGCACCAAGTCAACCTAAAGAAATGGGTACAATAAAGGCTCATTAAAATCAGAACTTTTATATCTTTAATGAATCTTTAACAACTGTATATAGGGTAGGCATTACAAATTGAAATACTAATCCTCAAAAGGACCATAAGAAATATCATCACTCTTCCTATATGTCTAGAGGAGATTTGTAACAATGCTGAATTCACAGGATATGGGAAGGATATGTCATTTTAAATAAAATATGATTTCTTTCTGCACTCTATTTTACACTACTTCTAATGTTACTTCTTCAATTTACTTATCTGGAATCAAACACAAAATAATGCTATGTCATCCATGAATTAAAAATTAAATTAAGCTGACTCAGATTTAAATTTTTTTCAGAGTATTTAGGTATTGCCCACCTCATTGGGTTCTATGAAGGTATCCACTTTAGTGAGACAATTCTTTGATCTTCCAGGACTGAAAAACTACGAAAATGAGGAATCATACTCCAGTAACTGAGTTCCTCTTGATGGGAATCCCTCATACCAAAGGACTGGAGAATGTCCTCTTCAGCATATTTCTGGGCTTGTACCTTCTCACTCTACTGGGGAACCTGCTCATCCTTCTGGCCATCCTCACTTCTCCTACCCTCCATACTCCCATGTACTTCTTCTTAGGAAACCTTGCAGTGTTTGATATATTTTTCCCTTCAGCAAATTCCCCCAAATTGATGCTCTGCCTAATAGGGCACAGCCCTACCATCTCCTATGAAGGCTGTGCATCCCAGCTGTTCTTTTACCATTTCCTGGGCTGCACCGAATGTTTTCTCTACACTGTGATGGCCTATGACCGCTTTGCAGCCATCTGCCACCCCTTACGATACACTCTCATCATGAACCATCGGGTATGCACTGTCTTAATTCTGGGAACATGGATGGGAAGTTGTTTGCACGCCTCTATCCTCACATTTCTCGTCTTTAAGTTACCCTATTGTGACTCTAACAAGGTGGAAAATTTCTTCTGTGATATCCCTGTGATGCTGCCCCTGGCCTGTGCTGACACCACTCTGGCTCAGTCGGTGAGTTTCACCAACGTAGGTGTTGTGGCTCTCATGTGTTTTCTTCTTATCCTCACTTCTTATACTCGCATTGTTATCTCAATATTGAAAATCAGCTCATCAGAAGGCAGATGCAGAGCTTTCTCAACCTGCAGTGCCCACCTGACCTCCATCCTGTTCTTCTACGTCCCAGTGGTGCTCATTTATCTTCGGTCTGCTTCCACCCCTTGGTTAGATACTGTGGTTCAAGTGTTGAATAATCTTGTTACCCCTTCCCTTAATCCTTTGATTTATACTTTGAGAAACAAGGATGTAAAGTTGGCTTTAAGAAAAGCACTAATCCCAGAAAGACATATCTGTAGGGAATGAGCTTGTATGTCACTATTATGTCTTTTGTTTGTCTTTCTAATGTATTTATTTGGGGTAATTACACTTTTGTCTTTTGTGATAGCTGGTGGATTTGAGATTCAAATTAGGATGTTGAGTCAGTTATATTAATAGCTCATGTTTTTATATTTACATAAATTTTTAATTCAACAAAATATCTTATAGTACTTACCTTTTCTATGCACTTTGAAAATACTATCACATAATCACCATAATCATCCTAGAAAATAGTATTATTATTCCAGTTTCACTGAAGAGAAAATGAAACACCAAGAAGTTATCCCAGTTGATACCCATTATCAACAGAGTTAGAAAGTTTCCAGTCTCTGATGTAGACCTTGGGTCTTACCCTTGTGCCCAGATGACCAAAACATGCTCCTCTTTTCTTAGTGGTAATGAGGTTCCTCTTTCTCTGCTCTTCCTGGTTCTCTTTCCTTTTAGGTCTTTCCTTTTAGGTCTTATAAGATAAAGGCAAAGCAGAACACCTTCAAGGGAAACTCCTCTTTTGTTGGGTCAGGGTCATGACCAGAGTAAGGTTGATATGTGGTTATTGTTATTGTTAGATATTCTCAAGTTGACTACAATTCATAGTGACTCTAATCCCCTTACAACTGATTGGCTGACAATATCCTATCATATCATGATCATATAATTTTATAACTGCCACACCAATGAGAATCAAGTCGAACCAAATTAGCAAAATTTTGAGAGCAAATTAAATCCAATATTAAAAAAGTACTTAGAATTCTATTCATTAAACCAAGGACTAAATATGAAATCTAGAAGCTGAGTGCTTTAAAAGTATTAATCCTTTTTATGATATTAAGAAAAAGATTTAAGGGAGCTCTGCTGGCCTAGTGGCAAAGAAGCTGCACTGAAATCTCAGAGGCACGCAGTTCGAAACCACCAGATACTCTGCTAGAAAAGTAGGGGCCATCTCCTTCTGTACCAGTCAGATCCTATTTGACGGTGGTTGTTGTTGTTTGATGCCGTTGAGTAGTAGACGACTCATAGCGACCTTATGAACGAACTGCCTGAGCACTGTTTGTACATAGAGTTTCCGGAGGCAAGCCATTTCGGAAGTGGACGCCGCTCCTGCTTCCAGGCACACACACAAAAATAATAAAAAAACATTTTTTTAAAAAAAGGAAAAGGTTTAGAGAAAATGAAGAAATGGAAAAAAGCAAAGTGAATAAAAGTGTTTTCCATTAGTCCCACAATTCAAAGAAAACACTTTTAATATTTTGTGAAATTTTTCTTCTTAAAAAAAATTTTTAGAATATACATTGCAAAAACATGTACCAGTTCCAGTATTTTTTGTGTGTGTGTGTGTGTAAAATTAAATAAAAGTCATTGCATTCTTTAGGTTTTGTGAAATTTTTCACTCTTCTTTTCTGAGTTACTCCTTTCTCATAAATTAGAAACTGTTACCAGATATTCTTAGCTAATCTTTCAAATAACTGTCACTTTGATCTCATATACATAATTCTTAAGAGACTGTAATTCTCAAGGAAAACATTTTTATTAATTAAGCTCAATTATGTGATGTCAAGAAGACTTCAGGGATCTTTTTGGTATAAGGTTTAAATTTTATTTCAGGAGTTCATCTAGCCTTCCTGATGCCAAAAATATGGAGTCCATTTTGTTGTGGGGGTGATGTGCTGTTGAGTTGTATCCAACTCAGAGCTGACTGACAGTGGATTTTCAGAGGCAGTAAATTGCACAGGAGAAAATTGCTCATCCTTGTCCTGTGGAACAGCTGGGATGCAGTCCATAGCAACTGAAATTCTCGTTTGCATTTCCCCCCTTATATCAAGATTGATCTACAGATTATTTGATCAAATCTTTAATAATTTTAGTAGGACATCATCCACATCTTCTGATCTCATAACCAGAGAGGCAATTGTTCATGGAGAAAAATTAGCCACATATTCCATGTTCTCCTATTACTGACTTTCCTTTTTCCTTTTTTTGCTCCATATAAATAGAAACCAATTGTTGTGACTTGGATGGCTTCTTACAAGCCTTTTAAAACCCTTGCTATTATTCATTAAACAGAGAGGTAGAATAGAAACACTAAACATGTCATTGTTGTTGTTGTTTGTTGTTATGTGCCGTCGAGTTGTTTGCGACTCATAGCGACCCTATGCACAAGAGCTCTAAACCCTGCTCTATCCTGTGCCAACTGCACTGCCTCTGATGACACACCCATCTCGATTAGCCCAGTCACCGGATCAAACCATCTCATAGAGGGTCTTCCCCTCCTGCGCTGTCCCTCCACCCTCCCAAGCATGATGTCCCTCTCCAAGGACCCGTCCCTCCTGGCAACATATCCAAAGTATGTCAGACGAAGCCCCAGAATCCTTGCCTCCAAGGAGTAGCTTGGTTTAATCCTCTCCAAGATGAATCTGTTTGTTTTCCTGGCAGTCCATGGTACATTCAGTACCCTTCTCCAGCACCACAGCTCAAAAGCATCCACTCTCCTTCTGTCCTCCCTAGTCATTGTCCAACTCTCTGATGCATAACAAGCGATTGCAAATACCATGGCCTGTATCAGGCACACCTTAGTCTCCAGACAGACACTGTTGCTCCTGAGTACTTTAGAGAGGCCCCTAACAGCAGACTTTCCCATCGCGATACGCTTTTTGATTTCCTGACTGCTAGTGCCAAGAGTGTTGACTGTGGAGCCGAGCAAACTGAAGCTGTGAACACTCTGAATCTCTTCCTCATCCATCCTGACGCTGCCAATTGGTCCAGTGGTGAGAATCTTTGCCTTCTTGACATTGAGCCTCAGTCCACACTGAAGGCTGCAGTCCTTGACCCTTCGCAGCAAGTGCATGAGGTCCTCCTCAGTTTCAATTCCTTTCTATACAATGACTCAGTATATTCCTTCCATCTTCTTTTAATACTTCCTGGATCATTTAATATTCTGCCCAAAGCATCCTTGATTATAGCCACTCTAGGTTTGAATTTGTTCTTCAGTTCCTTGAGCTTAAGAAATGCTGAGCGAGTTCGGCCCTTTTGATTTTCTGACTCTAGCTCCTCGCACATTTCATTGTAGTATTTTGCTTTGTCGTTCCGAGCAGCCTTTTGGAATCTTCTGTTCAGCTCTTTAGTATCTTGAATTCTTCCTTGTGCTTTGGCTTCTCTACGCTCCAGTGCAATCTTCAGAGTCTCTTCTGACATCCATTTTGGTCTTTTCTTCCTCTTCTGTCTTTGTAATGACCGTTTGCACTCTTCCTGGATGATACCTTTGACATCCTCCCACAACTCATCTGGTCTTTGCTCGTTAGTGTTCAAGGCCTCAAACCTGTTCCTGAGATGATTCTGAAATTCAGGTGGGATGAAATCAGAGTCATATTTTGGCTCCTGTGGATTTGGTTTTATTTTCCTCAGTTTCAGCTAGAATTTGCTTATGAGTAATTGGTGGTCTGTTCCACAATCAGCCCCCGGCCTAGTTTTCACAGCTGATATTGAGCTTCTCCAGCAGTTCCTTCCACAGATGTAATCGATCTGATTCCTATGCATACCATCAGGTGAAATCCATGTTTATAACCTGCATTTGTGTCTCTTATAAAATGTATTTGCAATGAATAAGTCATTGATTGTACAAAATTCAGTCATCCTATCTCCAGCTTCATTCCTGTCACCAAGCCCATGTTTTCCAACTACTGATTGTTTTTCTCTGTTCCCAACTTTTGCTTAAACAAATTTACTATCTCATGAAACTGCACCCTAAACTTCAAAACCAATGACCATGTGATTTTGAATGTACTCAACTTCAGTAGTTATTTTTTCCATCATTGTTATAGATATATCTATCACTTAGTACTTGCCAATTCCACTTTTATAGGCATGCAATTTATTTGACAGCAATTACAACAATCAGCTGACCATATGGGAATTACTGAGGAGCCATTCAGGCCTATTGTGACCCTTTATCAAGTTTCCAAGACTGTAAACCTTTATAAGAGGAGACTGTCCATCTCTTTCCCATTCAGCTCCTTGTAGATTTGACTCACTGATCATTAGGTAATCAGCACAACAGCTAACACACTGCACCACAGAGCTCATTGTATATATTGAGAATTATATTGTTATGATCATATTTCTTATGTTTATTGTCTTGTTTTAACATAAGAGTTCTGATGGCTATAGTTAAGCTCTTGATTAATGACTAAGGTCCACACTTTGAATACACCAGTCATTTCCTAAAAGACAACCCTGCCCATAAAGGTGACAATCTTTGGAATGCTATAGAGAACTTCTATCTTGTCCTATAAAGTTACTAGAAGTTTAAATTGATTGAATAATAATAGGTTTGGATTTTATTTTACTTTAATATTGTCTGAAAAATTTTAATTTCTGTAGTTTTCAAAGAACGCATTGTGATGGAAAAGTCTGCGGTTAGGGACCTCTCTAAAGTACTCAAGAGCAACGGTGTCTCTCTGGAGACTAAGGTGTGCCTGATACAGGCCAT